GGGGGAATCCTCTCCGGGGTCCGGCCGGCAAGGGACCGGAGAGTCCCCTCCGTAGCCCTGCGCGGGCCAAGGCCAGCCCGCTTCGCAAAGGCGCGGAATCCCGGGTTGCGGCCGCCTCTGCCACGCCAGCCCCGCCGGCGCCCCCGGTGTCGTCGGTGCGGGTGATGAGTGCCTGCGGAGCGGTCTCCGAGGAGATCGAGGTGCTGGAAATGGTAAAGGAGGACGAGGCGCCACCGCCGCACCCCGACTCGGAGCGGCCGCCGTCCGCCGCGGAGCTGGAGTCACCGGCTGAAGAGTGCAGCTGGGCCGGGCTCTTCTCCTTCCAGGACCTGCGGGCCGTGCACCAGCAGCTGTGCTCGGTGAACTCACAGCTGGAGCCGTGTCTGCCGGTGTTCCCCGAAGAGCCGTCCGGTATGTGGACGGTGCTGTTCGGGGGCGCCCCCGAGATGACCGAGCAGGAGATCGACGCGCTGTGTTACCAGCTCCAGGTCTACCTGGGCCACGGCCTGGACACGTGCGGGTGGAAGATCCTTTCCCAGGTGCTCTTCACCGAGACCGACGACCCCGAGGAGTATTACGAAAGCCTCAGCGAGCTGCGGCAGAAGGGCTACGAAGAGGTGCTTCAGCGGGCAAGGAAGCGCATCCAGGAGGTGAGAGTCCACCCTGGGTTTGGTGTCTCACTGTCAAGTGCTGGAGCCTCGGTTTGGGCTGTGCGCCAGGGTGGAAAGCCGAACAGGAGGGGTTTCTGAGCCGACTCTTTAATTATCTCGGCGAAGGATATTTAGGAAGGCTTTAGGATTTCTCGACCCCGTTTTTATTTCTTTTCCTCCTAAAAGTTTCCTAAATATAGGTTGAAAGATAAAAGCATTTACGAAAATAGATATTCTGTAAAACTTGAACTAAACGACAGTAACTTGCCCACACTTCAACTGTTCTTCAAATACTCAAAATAGTTGTCTTAAAGGAACAAACTTGATCTACGTTTTGTTCCCCTTGTGTGCTCTGGCAACACAGGCAGGTATGAAATTTTACCTTTCAGTAAATTGTACCACTGCTGAAAGTGTACCTCTGAGCTTCCCAGCTCAAAATTCATTTTTAAATGTGTTGACTTGTCCAAATGAGAAAGAACCAAATGACAATTGATAACAAAGTTTTAGACTATTAAGTCTTTACAGATGACTCAAGTTTCACTCCTGTTTTATGGAGGAGGAAGGTCATGTTTTTTGTATGTAGTGTGAAAACTTTTCCATACTCCTTAAATAACAGGAAACAAAGAGGAGATGCCTGGACGGCCATACATAGGGAACTCTGCAGTGTGTTTACAAAGTCAGGCCTCCTCACCGGCTTCTGTTGAAACTTACTGCTTCTTCCAATGGACGGTAGATGTAGTTAGCATTTTACTATTTCATTATTACTATATATCAAAACAATTTACTATTTTAATGTTATTTTATATCGTAGTTGGATTTGGGATGGAAAAAACTGCTTTTCATGGGTTCTTATTCCCGACTTGGTGTCATTTGTCTGTGTGTATTTTATTACACACACACACACACACACACACACACACACACACACACACACCTCTGCTGTTAAGTCAGGAAGCTGGGACATTCCATTCTGGGTTTCTTCATAGAATATTAGGCGTTTCTCTTTGCTAGACTTGAGTATTTAGGAAACACTTATTTCTCCTGAATACAACACACAGTACATTTAAAACTTCGTTTTTCAAGAGTTCACTACTCGATCCAAACCTTCAATCCTTGCACTTGGGATTCGCTCTGGGAGGCTGGGGCAGGTGGATCTTTGTGAGCTTGAGGCCAGCCTGGTTTGAATAGTGAGAGTTCCAGGACAACCAGAACCACTTAGTGACACCTTGTCTTGGAAGAAGAAAAAAAGATTCTTCAACTTCTTCACTCCTTCCCTTTGGTTTACTGTATGGTGAACGTCACCCACAGTGATCTGATCCTCTAGTTCAAGGGATCTGTTTTCATTTCCCCTTCGTTATCTCACTTCCTGGAAACTTCTACCTTGATATGTTTTGGACAGAGGTAATGTGATGACATTCTTTCTAGTGTTCAAATTAACATATATTTTATCCCCCCCCCCAACAGGGTTTCTCTGTGGTTTTGGAGCCTGTCCTGGAACTAGCTCTTGTAGACCAGGCTGACCTCAAACTCACAGAGATCTACCTCTGCCTCTCGAGTGCTGGGATTAAAGGTGTACGCCACCGCTGCCCGGCCCTATATTTCTTTTGTATAGGGCTTCTGAAATTTTTTTTTTTTTATTAGATGTGTGTGTGTGTGTATGCTAGTTTCTCAGAAAATTACAAATAGCTACTGTTTATCAAACTAGAAGCTTTTTAATCCCTTAATTTAGAGATGTCTGATTTCAACTTTAAATGATACTGAAAAAGTAGCTATCTTTGTTTGCAAAATTCATATGGGTCAAAAATGAGCTTTAAAGAACACATTTTCTGTCTGGTGGTGGCACACTCCTTTAATCTCAGCACTCCGGAGGCAAAGGCAGGCGGATCTCTGTGAGTTCAAGGCCAGCCTGGTCTACAAGAGCTAGTTCTGGCACAAGCACCAAAGCTATAGAGAAACCTTGTCTCAAAAAAAAAAAAAAAAAACCAACACATTTTCTTAGTTAAAATTCTATTATTTAAGTATTTCATTCTCTTTAAGGTGCCTTTAAATTTTATTTGTTTGTGTGCTTGCTTGCTTATGTATGTATGTATGTATGTATGTAAGGCAGGGTTTCTCTGTGTCTCTCTGGCTGTAGTGGAACTTACTCTGTAAATCTGGCTGACCTTGATCACAGAGATCTGCCTGCCTCTGCTTCCCTGAGTGCTGGGATTAAAGGCAGGCACCACCACTACCCAGCAATTTTTTTTTTTAAATTTTAAAGTAAGGTCTCATTCTGCAGCCTGAATGGCTTGAAAACTCACCCATATGTATCTCAAGTTGGCCTCAAACTCTTGATCCTTCTGACCCAACCTCCTGAGTGCTGGAATCACAGGTGTGAACATCAGTTTTATTCTCTTTAGCAGAGGAACAGAATAAAACATTTTTTAAAGAGTCTTTTTTGTCTTGGAAAGCAAAATATTATAAATTTATTAACAAATATGTAAGCTTTTGGTTCTTTCTGAAGTTGATTTAAATGGTATTTCAGGAATAGCTCCCAACGAATTTGTCTATAATACCTACCCTGAATTATACTGGCAGATGAAGTGTAGAGACTAGTTAGTGATGCAATGGACACGATGGAAGTGTATTAAGATTTTTAGCCGGGAGGCAGAGGCAGGCGGATCTCTGTGAGTTCAAGGCCAGCCTGGTCTATAGAGCAAGTTCCAAGACAGGCTCCAAAGCTACACAGAGAAACCTTGTCTTAAAAAAACCAGGAAAAAAAAAAGAATTTCGAAGTGACTTACTTAGGGGGTTAATGTGTTCTCCCGCAGCTTAGATTCTTTTCTATATTACTAGTTTGCTTTTAGGGAGAGGAGTTTGTGGAGTGTTTGCAGTGTGCTAAGCAAGTGCTCTACCAAAGAACTGTATATGTATATGTCATCCCTGAATATGTATATTTCACCAACATTTGGTTGGTGAAACAGGACTCTAGTCCAAGGCTGGTCTTGAATGGCGCACGGAATCTCACATCAGCCTCTCTGGCACACACCGACTACTTTTTTTAAAAAAAAATTGTTTTATAGCAGTTGTATGTCACTTCTGTTCTCTTGAGTTTATTTTTATTCTACTTAATTTAGTGTCATCTTCCCATACCTCCTCAATCGATATAGCTTGTGGAATTGAATAATTTTTTTTCCTTCGAGACAGGGTTTCTCTGTAGCTCTGGAGCATCCCCTGGAACTTGCTTTGTAGGCGAGGTTGTCCTTGAACTCAGAGATCACCTGCCTCTGCCTCCCAAGTACCGGGGTTAAAGGTTCAGCCACCACCATCTGGCTGAACAAATTCTTTTATGTTGGATATGTCTGGTCAATCACATGTTTAACAGATAATACTTAAGTAATGTAGTTCTTGTTCATATTTTTTCTTCAGTTTTCTTGAGTCTGGTACCTATCCCCATAGCATGACTTCTCTAGCTGTAGAGTCCATACTTGTTTTTGTTCAGATGATCAGGGATCGCTTAAGGGAGGTTCTGTCTCCAGGATATTCAAATACAGGGTCTTGTATGCTGGTGAATCCTCTCCTACTGAGCCAGTCTCCAGTCCTCTCCTTTAAAAAAACAAGTGGAGAAACAATTTGGTAATGAAGGCCACTGACTGACTCTGGTGAATTCCCTGCTTTTCCAACCACTAGTTCAGAACACTCACTATTAGTAGATAAGACATGTCATTTTAATGTAAAATTGCAGATAAATACAAGTTTTTTTGGTGTCTTATTTGTTTTTGTTTTGTTTTGTTTTTTGAGACAGGGTTTCTCTGTAGCTTTGGAGCCTGTCCTGGAACTAGCTCTTGTAGATCAGGCTGGCCTCAAACTCACAAAAGATCTGCCTGCCTCTGCCTTCCTAGTGCTGGGATTAAAGGTGTGCGCCACCGCTGCCTGGCTAAATACAAGTTGACAAATGTATATTCTTCAGGGAAGATTCTTTAAAATAGTATGAAACTTCTCTTAAAATTGTTAGTTTTTAGATTTTAGATGGTCTCCATATGTAGCCCAGACTGTCCTCAGATTTATGATCCTCCTCTCTTAGCCTCTTGACTGAAATAATGTGGGCGTCTCAACTCCTGGCTTGTTAAACTCTTAAATACCAAAGAGGAATGGGGGCTGAAAGTGTGGTTTATGGAGTGCTTGCCTGACATGAAGTTCTGGTTTCAATCACCAGCCCTGGAACTTTGGCACCCCACACCTGTAGTCTCAGTTCTATGGAGGTGAGGGCAGGAGGATCAGAAGTTCAAGGCATCCACTGTGTGGCAAGTTGAAGCCAAAGGAATACATGAGACCCTGTCTCAAAAACATAAACATGAACAACATTCAGAACAAAAACCACTGTTGCAAATTATTTGCTCTGCTATGTGAGGTTGTGACACTTGAATTGGAGTTTAATATTTGCAGTACCCTTAAGGTTTAATATGGGTTACCAGGCCTGTATTTTGAGCCACTTAGGAGGGCAAGGTGGGAGAATCACAAGTTTAAGACCTGCCTGGGTAAATTTAAGTGAAATCCTATCAAAAAATAAAGAACTGGGGAAATAGATAGGTCACTTTTTTTTTTATATTGTATGTGAGGCCTCAGTTCAGTCCCTAGTACTCCAAAGGAAAGAAGATTGGTATGGGGAACTGAAGAAGCCCTCCCAGGTGTTTTTTTCTACTGCAGGTTTTTGTCCAGATTCACACCTGTAGATTATAGTTCATGAGGGTTTACAAGTTATATAATAATACAATATTTTTAGATGACATACACATTCTAAAATTATATACTAAAGCTTCAGCCTAAATAAAATGCAGTGTTTGTTATTTGTAGTTTTGTTGGACTTCTACATGAGTTTATTATAGTATCTATTATTTATACAGCAGGCAGACAATTTTTATATGAATACAAGTGCTATAAATGCCTCTTTGAACAGTGTAGCAATAGATCTTAGTTGTTGGTCAAAGCTAAGGTTTGTATTACTGTGTGTTCATAGGTAG